CACAATGCAGCCATTTCACATTCTTCATCTCACTTAGTCCTTGCAAGAACCGATGAGTAGGTAAGTTCTGATATCAAGAGTTTTCCAATGCCAGGAAACTAAGGCATTTCTTTAGTTTGTCAGATCAATGTCCTTAACTACCCAGAAACCCTCAAAAGCCTTCAGTGACTCTTCATTTCTTTTCTAATCAAAATGATACCCCATGTGGCTTTCAAGATCTCCACAAATTAAAGCCTAGTGTGGTGGAACATGCCTGTAATACCATCACTCAGGAGGCAGAAAGAGGAAGATTGCACAGGAGTCTTGGGCCATCCATGGGACATAGTGAGGTCCTGTCTAAAAAAATTGTTTTTAAACGCTACACAATTTCTCTTATTTATATTAGCTTTGTTTATTTCTCCAACTTTCTATTATTGAGGCCTGGATCTTTCATCTTGGGCAAAATCCATGTTCAAGCAGATGCAGTGTTTGCATGTCAACAGCAGTATTGCTAAGAGCAGGCTCACTTGACTGCATCCTTGTTTTTTTGAGTAGTTTTTTTTTTAAATTTTCTCATGTTCCCAAACTTTCATATCCATCATGCAAGTACCACCTTCTAGAAGACATAAGTTCCATATTATTTAACAGTTGGACAGGTACTTATTTCAATCTGTCATAGCTTAGTCGCACTTGTATTTCAAAAAGTTCCTCCCTGTTTATGTCATGGCCCCTAAATGTACATAGCTTGTCCACAGACTGTCACATGCTTCCTAAAGCTGTCTAATGTGATTTCCCGATTTTGAGATCTGGTATCACCTTAGCCTTGTCCTTTCTAAGTATAGGATGAAAATTTTTTTATCTAGGTATATGATAGAAGTATTTATTTATTTTTATTTTATGTGCACATTTGTCTGTGTGAGGTTGTTGGATCCCCTGGAACTGGGGTTACAGACAGTTGTGAGCTGCCATGTGGGTTCTGGGAATTGAACCCGGGTCCTCTGAAAGAACAGCCAGTGCTTTTAACCACCAATCCATCTCTCCAGCCCTGATGTAAGTATTTCTAAGTATATTATGGTCGTATTTTTATCTAGGTATACAATGGAAATACTTTTTCCATTTTTTATAAAATGTTTTTATAAAACATTTTTTTATTCATGTTTTTATAAAAACACTTCACACCATTCCCCCTTTAGGCATTCTCCTTACTTCTGGTATAGTTGGAGCAATCTTGATTCAGAGACTTGAAGTGTAGGAATAAAAGTTCTCGGGCAAATGCACACTAGTCTAAAAGATAAGATCTGAACTGTGCTCCTCTCCCATTACCATTCTCCATATCTATAACATCATACTGTTCTTTTCTAACACAGCACACACACAGCCACTGTCTTTCATAGCAAGGTATAGCATAACAGCTCAAATAGCAGACATACTCATTGGTGAAGGAGCTTTCTTGGCCACCAGAACCGGATTATAGAACTGGGCAGAGCTTTGACTTTCAGATCCCAGGAAAAGCCATCAACCTAATCCAACTTTGTGTGTTTTCTTGGAATTAGACTAGACACTGGAATATAGAAATAAATAATCATACACACTGAATTCATGAAGGAATAGAAAGGAGTCCCTCATGGTCAGGGACACTGCGCAAACACAGCCCACTGGATCAATTGACTGGGACTCATGGGAGCTCCCAGAGATCAGGGAGCCTGTAGGGGGTCTGACATTTTGACTGAGTAGCTTGGTCTTCTCATGGGACTCCTAACAGTGGAAGTGGGGGTGTCTCTGGCTCTTTTGCCTGTTTGTGGGACCCTTTTCCTTCTACTGGGTTGCTTCATCCAGCCTTGATGTGACAGTGTGTGCCTGGTATTACTGTAGCATGTTATGCTGTGTTTGGTTGATGTCCCTTGGAAGCTTTCTCTTTTTTGAGAGGTGGTGGCAGAGGGGGGTGGATCTGGGGGAGAGTAGAGATGGAGGGAGAGACTGGGAGAGGGGAGGGAGAAGAAAATGCAGTCAGGATGTAATATAGAGAAAACAAAAGAGAGTAAAAGTATGGTAAATGTCAAGGAGCCTGCACTAGATAGAACAAAGGAGCAAGGATAGAAGATAGTTTCCAAAGACTGGTGGTAATATTTGGACTGAGATATTGGGGGGCCTGGAATGTTTATTACTCTGTTCCCATCCAGCAGAAGAGTCCCCGAGTAGAGGACAATTATTCAGTAAGCATGTTTGCCGTTGAGAGAGAAGAGAGAATTCACAAGAAACAAGAAAAACAAAGTTTGGAGGTTTTAGAAGCTGGTGAATTTAGTAAGTGTAATCATGGTGCTAGCGTGAATGAAAGGGGACCGTTGGGTCTAAGGCTGGATCTGTTTCAGCTCAAGGTCTGAATGTAAAAACCCTTCTGAGGCTTTGTACATCAGAGGCAACAGAGAGCCGTGAGATGATTTATGGGCTGGGGTCACACAGGCAGATTCTGCTGATACACTGACCATCAAATGATGGCCTCTCAACTCCAAAGCCATCCTTCACTGCCTCAGCCAAAAGGGAAGTATTTAAATGTTTTCCTTCTGCCAGCTGCCATCACGTTGGGCTTTGCCTGTACAGAGCACTGGAGGGACCTACAGGGAGGCGCAACCATTTTTCTTAAAGGTTCAGATGTGTTCTTGCTGGACTCCAGAAACAACTGGGGTGTCTCTGGTGTCCCCAGCTCTGGACCCTGAAGCACAGCGTCTCTAGCATCTGACTCCTGCTCTATGCCATCTCTCGAGTGTCTGTGGTACCCATAGCTGACATTTTTGTTTGTGCTATGGTTTAGTAATAAAGTCTGTATGTTAAAGATCTGGTCCCCAGGGGGCGCTACTGAAAGGGGCTTGAACTTTTGAGATCATGTGATCTTAGAGTCTTCCTTTTCTCTTTTCCTCCTGACTCAGGAGATGAGTGGCTTGATCTGCCACGATTCTCCATCCTTACTTTATGATGGGCTGCTATAGCTAGAGGACAAAATTAACGGGGCCACTTGATTTTGAATTAGAACCCCTAGAACTGTGATTCAAAATAAGTCCTGTCTCCTTATAAGTTAATTACGTCCCGCATAGTGATGGGAAGCTGACTGACTCATGCTGGTACCTTCTTGGGAAGCTCTGTAGCAGAGTGCTGCCAGAGAGTCATGGTCTCAGTTTCTCTGACATCCTAGAGAGTCAGTTCTGTGGGGGTGGCATCTCCACGGTTCCTCTGACCTCCAGGGGACTGTGGTCACAACCCTCTATATCACGCTCAGTATTAGTCCTTCCCTGAAGTGGTCTAGCTCAAGGCTACTCCTTATACTTGTGATCCCTGCATCCTTTGATTCTTCTCTATCTCCTTTTAGCCATTCCTCCATCACTTCAAGCCCATTGGTGTTAAAATTTTTTTTTTAAATGATGATCCTTCTTTGTTAAAATTACTTGGTGCTGTTTCTCTCTGAGCCTGAAACACACTGGCCAATAGCTTCATGAGTGAACTTAAGAGAGTGGGGTGGGCCCAGATCGGAACCTGGCAGTCCTTTGGGCACAACCAGAGCTTCAAGTCTCTATAAAGTAGGGGGAGGGGACAGGAAATAGACATTTAGGAGATTGGACATACAGGACTTGGGAAGAGGTGGGGGAGGAGAGAGGAGTCTAGAGTAACTCCCGGTTTTCAAGGCCTAAAGACGAGGCGGGCGGTGGCATTACCTTTGTGGAAATGTCCAACACAGCAGAAGTGCAGAGCAAAGTCTCCTTTACTGACACTTACTTTCAGGAGTTCCGTGCACTCTTGAGTCACAAAGCTTTAGAATCTTAGGTTCTTTGTCAACCAGACTCAACTTCTCAGCCTCTGAGCCCTATGACCGATTTATTCCCATCCATTTCTTAAAGGAGGGGAATGGTCTATTCCATCTCACAGTTCCACTCTTCCAACGTTTTGCCAAGTTCTTTTCCATTCTTAAATTTCTTGGTTCGAGTAAGCTTCCTTTCTTCATACATTCCAGGGCCCACCTCCACTTCTTACAACTCAATAAATGCGCAATTAAGAGAAACCTTCTCGCCTCCCAAAGGAGAACGTTGAGCATACTCGCTAAGTGCTAAAGAACACAGGTTTATCAAGTATCACCTATAGCTTGTTCTGGGATTTCATTTGGTTTTATTGGTGTGGTCTAAGGGTTCAGTTATAGACATTAAGTTGTTCAATTAAAGGAATGAAAGTCTCCACATACTGGAATCTCAGAGTTGTTTTCTATGAACAGTTCTTGGAACACAGGACCAAGTCACTGTGCATCCTTGCTCTTATTTGAGACAGGGAGTGGTGGGTTTGGAACACACAGTGACTCTGGCCTGGAATGTGCTTCCTACTTTACACAGGTGAATTCTTTCCTTAGAGCTCAGTTTAATTCTTCCCTGACCTCCAAGACAGTTCCACGACACCTTTTCAGTGACACTTAGCTTAGAGTTGACATGATTTGTGTGATTCTTGGATGAACACACTTCTTTGTACGTTGTAAAGCCCAGGGTAGGCTTGACCAGCATTTTGCTCACTACAGAATCCTAGTGCTGGCCTAATGCCTGGAACTCAGAGTTCAGTAGATATTGGTGGAAGAATGAGTGGTACCAGTTTATAGTGTATCAGTCACGCCCGTCAGTCCCCACAACTGTCTTTCCAAATGTGTTCTTATATCCGCGTTACAAATGGAGAAGCAGTGGGGGCTAGTCAGATTCCACTGTATTTTCAAGCCATAGTACACAGAATTAAAGAATATAATAGTAGTTCTGGGTAAACACACACACACACACACACACACACACAAAATTGGGCCAGAAATTAATACTCCCCCACTTAAAGATTTCTGCGCGCCCTTTCCCTGTTCTGTGGGCAAGGAAGAGTTGGGAACTCAGGTGGGTCCCCTGCAGTGGTGGCAATGGCCAGGGCTCCTCCCCTCCTCCTTCCACCCCCCCCCCCTCCGCCCCTCCTCGTCCCACTCCTTCCACTCCCCCTCCTCCTTCCACTCCCCCTACCTCAGGTTGGCTCCCAAAGGGGCTATCCCGCTTCAGGTGACTCCTAGCGCCTGCTGTCAGGCGAAAGATGTGGGGAGCGCCTGGGACCTTTGGCGGTGGAAGAGCGGCAAGATCTACTCCGAAAGGGCGGGACCACGAGGGACGCAAGCACCACTCAGGGCTTTATTAGCGGTGTGCCTTGCTGGGCAACCCTACTGCCTGCCCACCAGGGAGCAGGAGCATTATGTGACGTCATAGACTCTCCAGCACCGAGTTTGCGTTTGCGGGAGGGAGGATCATAAGGCCTGTGGAGGGGTGGCGGTGGTGGAGAGCCCATAGGATGGAGGAGGGATTAGGAATCCTGGGCATACACAGAAAGTGGTAGGTGAGGGAGACCCTTGGGGATCGCAGCCAACACTGCAGCACGTTTGTTCATGCCAGGGCATACTGTGAATGCAAATCAGGTATTAACTCAGTTCGTCTGTTCGGCCACTTTTACCTCCACATTCTCAGATGAGACGATTGGGGCATTCAGCAACTAGACCAAGATGAGGATTAGCTAGAGACAGGTCTAAGTTTCTCCTAACCTCTATCCTACTAAGAAAGGGGGTGGAGCTAAGGTGTATAAATACAGAGCCTGAAATGTTTGGGGGCACAGAGCAAAAAGGAATGCGTATTCTTCCTGCAGTGTGTGGTCATATGTGATGGGTGCTTTCACACACACAAGGCAATGATGTCTCCGGGTACCTTCACTATAGGGGACAGCATCAGGTTCAAAGTTTGGGGTAACTTATTTATGGTTAGATCCCTAGCAGTAACCCCTACCCCCAAACTCCACTCCGGGTCTTTTGATTTGAAGGTGATTATTATTATTATTATTATTTTAGAGGCAAACAAAAAGACCCACCATGGTCTGCTACCCCCTTTGTCCCTTCACCTCCATTTCTAAGGGTCTGGTCACAACCATGCAGTCTTCCAGCCCGTTTTGCGCAGTAGTGTGCATCAGCCAGAATCAATGAGTTCCTTCACCCAGGGCCTTCAAAGGTTTCTGTAGTTGTGAGATGAAAGCCGTTGTCTCCTTAAAGCAATTTCAAGCCTCAGTGAGTACATGGGGTTTTGGTTTATGTATGCAGAGGGCTTCTCACAGCCCGCTGCCATCCATTTGCAAAGGGCCTGTCCTACTGTTATTTGTCAAAATCCTGCAGGTGCTTGCACACCTGGATGATCTGGGAAGCCACTTGCCCACAGGCAAGATCTAGGGATGAAAGAAATTAATCACGGGCTATCCACTGCCTTCCCAAGGCCTTGGTGGAGGGACATTCAGTTGCTGGCATAGGCTCTGACTAGCAGCACGGGAGGGGATTGCGTGGGAGGAGATTGGTGGGTGTGTATTCCAGGAGGAAAAAAGAGGTGGGGAAGCCTATTTGATGTCTCCTGGGCTCTGGCCACTGGGGTCTGTTGTGTGCGCGCGCATGTGAAGATGTGCTGATCTTTTCCTTCAGCATGAATAATTAGACAGGAGTGAGTAAGGATGTTCATACAGAAGGGGCTTCTCAGACAGAGCGATAGCCACCTGGTGATGGAATATGCTAAAAACTGAATTTTAGTGTGCCAGATGAAATAGAAGAGAGGAATCTCACAGTGCTGTCTGGAATAGACAGATGTCTGTCTGTAGGAGGCAAGGTTGAGAGGCAGCTTGGTCAATCAATACATGAGACAGAATCCGGCACAGAGACCACTACAAGGACCAGCGGTGGTAATACTCAGAGATGTAGGTTTTCTCTGAAAGGCGGGTGTGGAACGGGAAATGGGATTGCTGGTTTAGCCTTGGAGTGGGAGGTGGGTTTGTGGGTGTTCCCGATATTTCAGAATTCACACGGACCTTTAGGTGTGTCGTGTATTAAAACTTTTAAAGTAAGCCAGTCCAATATGTTACACCCTGCCTCTCTGCTATCCTGTGGCCCTGCGAGCTGACCAGACCTTTCTCACCATCATTTTATTTTTCCTTCTGATAGATCATCCTCGTCAGTCTACAAACACGTTCTAATTTCTCCCGCTCTGTTTCCCACCATTCCCGGTCCGTTTCTCTGCCCCTCTGTATTGCGAAACTGTTCTAGGCTACTCTCCCTTCATTTCTTTTGTGTTTACTTGAATTGGGGTTTTATTTTCACTGCAGCACCAGCACCACACCTGCTGGGCCTCCTGTTACATAGGGACCATCTCTGAGCCTTGGCTCCCTGTCATTGACCTTGTGGCCCACTCTCTCATCCACGAGAATTTTCTCTTGGGCTTCCAGGACACACCCTACTTAAAATTTCCTGTCCTGCTGGTGGCTTCTTCTTCACCTCATCCTGGTGCCTTAATCTGAGGCTGATTTTTGGATTTCTTGGCCTGCACTCACTTCACTCTTCCTTACCTCCTACCCCCAGTCTCATGTTTTAGATGCCAAATTTAGGTCTCCATTCCGAGTCCTTCCTCAGAGCATTCAGCTGTCTTCCTGAGCCACCCCGTGCTTACTCCTCTTCCTCGACTTAACAGGTCTGAACCCACATTCCTTTGCAATCCTGCTCCTTCAATCTTTTCCACACCAGCAATGGCAAGTGTTGCCCCTTTAGTGGTTCAGGTTCGAGGCTGTGCCTTTACTCCTGAATGCTATTCTGTCACAGCTTCTATTTGATCTGAGCAAATTCTCTTGGATCTGTTTTACAAAAGTCACCCAGAACCTAAAAACACCACCTCCAGCACCCTCGTCGGAGCAAACTGCCCTCATCTGTGCTACTGCAATGGCTTCGTAGTCCACTGACTGCCCTGTTTCTGTTCTTGCTCTTCTGTGGCTCCCGGTACCATCCTTTGGGCACTGAAGACTGCTAGTGTCACCGCCTCCTCAGATCCTCCAGTGTCTCCTACTTTACCAGAGCGAAAGTCAAAGGGATGCTCAGGCCCTCAGACTTCCCACACACACCCTGCTCTCTTCCCTCCAGCCACCTGGTCAGGCTGTTTCTCAGAAAGACCAGATCCAGCCCTGCCTTGGAAACCCGTTGCCTTGCCTTTGCTGGGGCTGAAACTTCTTCAGATTTCCACACAGTCAGCTCTTCAGCTCCCCAAGCTTTTATCCAAAAGTTACCTTCGGAAGGGTCATCTCCCGCGCCTCTGTTTAAAGGAGAATACAGCGTCCTTCTCATGTTCTCCCTTACTTTACTCTCACCAAATGTTAGATGTTGCCAAAAATTTCACTTCATTAACTTTCTGTATTCTCCTACAGGAACGTGTGGGACCTTTTAGCTTTGTTTTATTCATGTTGCATTTGGGAACCCTTGAATAAGACTGAATGCAGAGCAGGCACTGTTACTGGCCATGAGCTCAGAAAGGCCTCCCCTTCTGCATGGTTCACCCACAGCTCACTTTCTCCTGGTCCTGCATGGACTGTTACATGGGACGATGTGAGTGGAATTTGTGCTCCCTGCTGCTGGGGTCGCAGGGAGGCTGAGATGGAGCTGGCGATGGTTGTATCCCAGTCAGGAACTTAGCTCAGGTCCAGCCTACTTCTGGGTTTGGCTGTGGAGCACATTTGTCCAACTCCTTGGACTTGATGCACCCTGTGTGTGTTAATACAAGTTAAGGCACATTCATGTTCTTTGGCAAACTGAGTTTAACAACACAGGTTTATCAGCTCAGTTCCTAAGGTGCAGGAGTCTAGAAAGGGTACTGATCTTCTCTAAGAGTCTTTCTAGGCTACCGTCCAAGTCTAAGGAGTCTGTGATCTTAATTTGAGACTCTAGGTCCTCTTCCTGTTCAGTGACCATTGGCAAAATTCTATTTCTTGTGGTTTTAGACCAGTTTTCTTGCCTGCTATTGACGAGAGATTTCTTAGTTCCAAAAGCCACCCTCAGATCTTAGTGACATGCTCTTCTCACCGAAGTCACAGCCTGGTTGTTGTCATCGTTTTCCAGCCGGGCAGAGGCATCTCCTATTCCTTTTTGCCTTTTTAAAAGGCTCACATGGTTAAGTCAGATCAACAGGAATGATCCTTCTTTTGGACAACTCAAAGTCAACTGATTAGGGGACCTTAGTTACATTTGCAAATTACCTTCTGGCACATAAACTTTATCATAGGAGTGATGTTCCATTGAATTCATAGGTGCCACCACACTCAAATGGAGGACAATGTGGTTGAGCATGCACCGCAGCAGGTGGAACTGTGGCAGGACCTTAGAATTCTGCCTGTCATAGCATACCTCTTGGTAGAGTGACAAGGAGAGAGCCATCATCTTTCTGCAGAGAATCAGGATCCTCAAGATAACAAACACAGCTACCATGAGTGGTCCAGGGTTGCCTTTTCCCCTCATTTCTTCTTGGGCAGCTTTTTCCCGAGATCTTTCTAGAACTGTTTAGGAAAAGCAGAGTGACTCTCACAGGTGAAAATAGCCACCTAATCAGGATTTGCTCAAGGAGTTGAAATGTGTGTGCGTGCGTGCATGTGTGTGAGTGTGCGCGTTGCTAACAACCACAGTGGGATGCAAGATATGGATGTGGCTCTTTGTGGTGTTTCTTTTTCTGCAGTTGACTTGACTCTCTGAAGATCTGACTCTCTATACGGCACCTTTACTTACATGGGACAAGGTGGTCCCAAGGCAGACATGGCCCCTCGGCATATGGCTTAGCAAGTGGGGCAGGAGCTGGACTTCAGCCACTATCATCCCTCAGAAGACTGCCTGCTTTTCCTGCCTCCAGACTTTCTATTCCTATCCTACATTATTCATCTTCTAAATATGCACAGCACTCCCTCCCCCACCCCAGGAAAAGAAAAGAACGAATGAAATAAAGTGAAACGTCCTCTCCAATGTTCTCTCCCTTCCTCTGCAAGAACTCTTCTCCTTTCTTCATGTGGAGAGAGGCTTTGCTAGTTGTCTCTGTATAGAGTATTCAAATCTTTCTCTTGGTCCCACCTCCCTCTTCAAATCTCAGCCCTGTGTCTGGTGTCCCAGATTCCCAAGGCCACAGAAGGTACATGCTCTTTCCTCAGACCAGCTCCAGATAATTCCAGTGTGCCGGCGGCGATGCATTCACCCCGTTACCCCATGACATACTAAACCGTCAACCCGACAATGTTCCCTCTCCATAACGGAGTCTGGGTCATTGTCCCTCTGCTGTACACTGATCTAAGCCTTTAGCTTTTCGTGTCCGCACTCACATTTCACGTCAAGTGCAGCCGGTTTCTGATTAT